AGGCAAGAGTCACATCAGACAGTCTTCCTCTTGCAAGCAGGCGGCCTGAGCTCCACGGTGCAGTTCACCCGTTAACACGCCTCTCTAGGCTCCCCCAGCCCCGAGATGAACCTGAAGGAGCCACACCTCCGTATGTCCAACCTGTCCCCCTCCCGGACCACATGTCCTCAAATGCCAAAGCCTCCTCTTCCGGTCGGCCCTGTGCTACGCTGTAGGCTCCTGACGAGCCCGTGTCTTACTCTTCAGCACTGAGCACTGCGTCATAAAGCATGTCCTCAGTGAGCACCCACTTGGCTGAATGGAAAGAAACAGAAGGAACAAACACAGAACGAAATGTCTTCTGAACAGGAGAACTGATCGCGCTGTCTCGGCTACTCGGGGCGCTTTCTCCTCGCAAACACCAGGGTGGAGGAGTTAGGGCCAAGGGCTGGCCCCTACTGGGGACCAGAGGGTCTGCAGGGAGGCCTCTGTGGGAACACGGCCCTGGGGCACTCGGAGGTGGGAAACACCCCAGGAAGGGGCAGGGTTCTCCCTGAGGGAGGTGCTCAGACAGCCCAGGAGTAAAGAAATCCACAACTAATAAATACTCACCACGTGACTACATTTTGTTTACAAGAAGCTTCTATATTCTCCCTCGTACCCCAGGTGGCAGAAGGCTCCCTCCTAACCCCTCCCCAGTCTGTCTTCCAAACTGCGGCCGGCCTCCTTCCGGTCATGTCATGGCATCCCATCTTTATACCTGCCCTTGGAACATGGTCAGGTGGGCAATATACCCAAAGTCCCTAGGAGGCCCACATCGTTGCAATCCCAGTTCCTGACTTCCCCACCCATATCCCACACATCCCTGCAATTCCAGCCACTCTGTGGTTCCCTGAATGGGCCACACACACACACATCTCACACTTCTGCGCCTTTGCATATGCTGTTCCCACTGCTATTCCACAACTCTTGTGCTGAGTCAATTCTCTTTTATCCTTTGAAAACTCAGGCCTTAATATTCTTTTTAACTGCCTAAAGTTTGTTTCTTAATAATGAAACCAATTTTTTTGCTTAAAAGTAGTTTTTTTTGTAATTTAATAGTAATTTAAAAGTAATCCTATACTCCTGTTGGATAAATCTTCAGAGAAAGTCCAGCAAGTCCAAACTTACTCATTTTTGAGGAAAAACAGATGAGCATTTGGAGATGGTGTTCCTGTCAGCCTGAGGATCTGTCTCATTCAGGTGTCAGGGCCAGTGCTCACAGCAAAACCCAAACTCAGGCCCTGCTAAGCCTTCCCATATCACATGCCACCCCCTCCGTGCCCGCCACTCTCCAGCTACAAACTCCAAGAGTTTGTCCCTTAACTCTTGACTCTGAACCTTTGTAATTACTGTTCCCTCCAACTAGAATGCTGTTCCCTGCTTTTCTAAAGGCCAGCTTGTGCTCATCCCTTCTGAGAGGGTAACTTCCTTGACTTTCCCACAGTTTCTATATATTATCTGATTCCTTTCTTTCTTGGCTCTTATCACAGACTGCAGTTCACTTTAAAATTTCCTTTATAATTATCAATGGGTCTCCCCCCACTAGAATGTTCCCTCTTTGAGGTCAGAGGCCATACCTATCTTATTCACCAAAGCATTTCTAGTCTGGCATACAGAGGGTCCTCAATAAGATATAATTTTTAAAAATGAATGAAACTATGAGGCACTCGCTTAGGTTCACAGAATCAGAATGAAGGGTGTCAGCTCTGAAAAGTTTCTGAGAAAGGTAATCTGATGTTTCTATTTCTGAAACATGAAGGCCTGGTACTCTCTTCTGCCTGGCAGGAACCCTCTCCCCTAGAGGTTCTTGGCTAGGCTTTTCCAACATTTATCTCCATGGCTCCTGTTATCTCTGCTTTTATCCCTGACCACCTAAAAAGTCTATAATCACTCACTTCGTGAAACTCAGGGGAAGTAAGGTTACTGTGCCACTGAGCAATCAGGTCCGTGTTTGTGGGTGAGCATTCCATGGAGCTGCAGGGGGGGGCTCCCCTGCACACACCTGGCATCGCTCAGCACTGGAGGACAGAAGGGACAATCCAGGCCCTAATGAAAGTCCATCCGTCCACAGGTCGGGTTAGAGTCCACCAGACAAAAGACAGTCACGTGGCATTCTGAGCCAGGTGTTCAGCCAACATATTTACAAGCATTTAGAAAACATTCTTACTAGCGTCTCTCTCTGGAATTTCATGTAATACCCCTGTTTTATGCAAAAATCCCTCCTAAAATAAACCTTGCCAGATCACATAAGCCTCAGAAGAGAGAAATTAAGGCAAATTCAGAGCTTATGTTGAAACAAATACAACAAATGAAAGATGTTAAAACAAATACAATAAAGGTCCACGTGTAAAGTGTGGAGTTCATCAGTCATAATGCACTGGGAAACTCTTTACAGGGGAAAGCAAAGGGCGAGGGAGATGCATTTCCCATTAGCTCATTAAAACTGCTTGATTACAAGGGATTCAGATTCTGAGCTCATTAGGCAAAGTACTTTCTTCTGGTTTGTGGGGCCCCCAGGGACTTTTTCCTCTCTCACTCCATTTAAAACCCTCATGTTTTCTCCCATTGCATACAAGGCACTAATAGTCCAAGGAATGTTCCAGGCTCTTTCATGAATCACTCTTTTGCAGGAGCTCATTAGCAATGTTTAAAATACAAGCCCTGTGCAGAGCCAGACCAAACAGCCCCTTTAATTGATAATGATCACCAGCACCGTGCACATATCTGGCGCATTACGAGTTTGCAGTCCTTGATTGTTGAATGAATGAATGAACAAATCAGTGGATGCCTACGAGGGGTTTCTATGTACCAAATGTCTTGCTACACAGTGGGAAGCCTCATCATCAGACCCTCAAGGACAGGTGGTAGGGATGTTTAGAAAATGTGGCTGAGTGAAGAAATGGGTACCCACATGGAAAGAGGGCAGTTCATGACATTACACACCAGCCTACTGTTTTATAGCATTTCAGAAGCATTTCACTCATTTAAACAATAACTGGTCTTCTGTACAGGCACATCGGCAGGCAGCCTGGCACTGAAGATCATGTGGGCCAGTCTGAAACCCAGCCTCACCCCATCCCAATATCCCGGGGTCTCTGTTTCTTTGCAGGTCAAACGGAATCATTTTGGGGGAAGGCAGGGTATCTTAATGCATATGAACAAACTCATTCATTCATTCAACTAATACTTCCTAAGCACCTGAGTGTCAGGTACTGTGCTTCTGATACCATGACAAGCAATATAGTCAAGGATCCTGCTGAAGTATCGGAGGCAGAGGCAGAAACGAATGACAGGCGTGGTAAATGGAGCTCCTATACAGTGTCAGGAGAAGCATCAGGAAAGGAGACAGCAGGCAGGTGAGGGGGAGGAACAGGAAGGACAGCATGAAATTAGTGGGCACATTAAAGGGAGGTACAGGTGTACAGCATTAACTGGGGATCTCAGCGGGGCATTTGAGAGAAGACCCAACGGGCATGAGAAAGGAGCCAAAGGCCTCCCAAGAGGAGGCTCAGCACAAGGGGGCGCTAGTGAGGACCCCCAACCTGGGGCCTCACTTCTTGGGGAGGGGGACCTGGGGTGGGGGAGGCAGAGAAGAAGGGCAGGTCACACAGGGGTCCATTATCCCTGTTTGCCCAGGACTAAGGGGGGTTCCTGAGACTCAGGGACTTCAGTTTTAAATCAGTACCATGCTGAGCAAGCAGGAGAGTTGGAAGCCCTCGGAAGCTATAGGAAAGGAGGTCTCAGAAGTAACCAGAGGCCTGATCCCACATGGCCATGAGCTTGACCCAGTTGGCCTGGGACTGGCTCTATTTTAAATCTGAAAGTCACACATCCTGGTATCAGGCAAACCAGGGCAGCTGGCCGCCCCAGTGCAGTGTAAGCTCTTAAGCCAAGGGGCACAGGGCAGGCCATATTAAACGCGCTGAGTCGGCACCATGATGTTTTCACCAGCTGTTCACGTGTGTCTGAGGTCTGAGTAGGGTTTTCCCATGAAAATTCCAATTTCCTTTCTCTTACTGATGAGTTTGTCTCTGGGGGGGACCTGTAGTGGGTTGAATGATGGCCCCAAGAGGGACCACATCCTACTATCCAGACCTTATGAATGTGACTTTGTTTGAAAAAAGGGTCTTTGCAGATGTAATTAAGGATCTTGAGACGAGATCCTCCCGGATTGCCTGGGTGGGCCTTAAATCCAATGACAAGTGTCCTTATAAGGAGGAGACACAGAAAGAGGCCAAGAGAAGGAAGAAGCAGAGACTAGAGTGATGCAGCCCAGAGGCTCAGGAATGAGCCCCAGAAGCTGGAAGAGCCAAGGAGGGATCCTGCCCAGTAGCTCTAGAGAGAGCCTGGCCCTGCCAACACCTTGATTTCAGACTTCCAAACTCCATCACTGTGAGAATAAATTTCTGTTTTTTTCCATGCCACCCAGTTTGTGGTCTTTGGTCACAGAACCCCCTGGAAAACACAGGGCCCGATGCCCTGCTCACTGCAGCGGACCCCGAAGCACAGTGTATCTGCCCCCCTGGGGCGCAGTGCTCCACAGTCCCCCCAGCGCACAAGGTTCTGTGTGTTTCAGCAGGCCTATGCACATGCCACCTCCACCAGAACTATAGCAGACCATCAGATTTAAGCATCAGCCAATTCTTTTCTACATGCACCTGTCATTGCACTGGGCTGAAGATAGCTGTCAAAGGCAAGGTCACCATGTCTTCATTTCCCATGGAACAGACCAAGTGCCATCCCAGATGATGACAGTCCCTGGGGTACAGGAAAAATCTGGACTTGTTTTCATATCACTTCCTAATCAGCAAAGAGTGAGGCAGCTCCTGAAGACTGTCTGTGGGCTGTTTTCCAGCCAGCAGGGAGGCTCTGCAGAGAAACGCCCGGGCTGGGGGCAGACACCTGAACCCAAGTCCATTCACCTCTTAAACCACCAGTGGTCCTTTAACCTCTTTGAACTTCTGGTTTTCAACTAAATAAGGCACAGAGAGAAGCCAGAAAGCACATAAGCTGAAAACCTGCTTTTCAGGGTCTCTGTGGAAAAGTCAGAGGCAGGGGATATTTGTTCAGCTCTGACTAAGACATTTCTGGCACTCAACGTATGAATTAAACTCAAGTATAACACTTCAAGGAAACAGGCATGTCCTACTGTTTACATAGCACTTACCTGTTCGGATGTCATGGTTAACGCCTTCGATGGAGATAATGGCATTGGGAATTCCTTTTCCGTGTAAATCCCTCACAATGCCTTTGATGCCACGATGCACCTGCCCAGCAAACAGGAGAAACAGGCTCACTTGACCAACCAGCACAGCGAAGAGGGCTCTGAACCGCACGCCAGCCCAGCGCCACCACGAACCCTTGCAAAGCCACAGCTAGCTGGAAAGGTCCCGGCCCTGTGTGGGCTTGGCGTGTAAATTTCTGCGTTCCTTTGGGTCCATGCACCAGAAAGTCCTCCAGTGGAGTCAAAGTATTCCAGAGGTTTAATTAATATTAGGAGCTGAGATGGTTCATAAGAACACATCCACTAAAAATGGAATTTAATTTGTTATAGGCACATTTATTTTGACGTTCCCAGACTACACCGATTTACAGATTTAACGACTTCATAGTGAGAAAGGAGTCAATCCTCTTAAACTACAACTCAGCCTACAGGGCCCTTCCAGGACTAGCTGTGTCACATGACACACACCAATGCTGCACCTTGTGCCTCAGTTTCCCCTTCTGGGGAATGATGTGACAATCTAAGGAGACATACCATCATTTCTAAGGAAACTCTTTATATATTTACTACTGTGCCTGGGCATTTTATCCACAGGAGGTTCTTTGGCTAAGTCAGAATCATTACCTTAGAATGATTAAAGCCTTCTCTCTCTCTCTTCATATATGAAATAAAAAAGGGCCTCGCTCACAAAATTCTAGGGTGGGGGCAGAAAGTGCGCTCATGGCTTCCCAACAGGGAGGAACAGGTTCACACCCTGTTGGCATTGTGCCACCAAAGTGCACGGTGGGCTGCTCTGACCCTATGGGGATGCTCACAGACAGCCTTGGATGCTAGATCCTGGGGCTGACCTCAGCCACCTGTGTGGAGGTGACAGAGAGCAGGAAGCTGGCAGCCTGAGCCGCAGGCTGCATTGTCTGTGGCAGCCCATGGAAGAAAGGCAACCTCTGTCTTCAGCCTCAGGATCATACTCCCTAATGGACGCAAATCGCAGTGGAGCCACACAGCTGACAGTCCACACTCGTTTTTGTTTAGTTCTCCAGTTTCAAGTCAGTCTGCTTCTTACTGTGGCATGGGTGTTACTTAGTTAGTTTCAGCACCGAACTAGAACCGGTTTACCCAATACTACAAATGGGCCTGTCTCGGAGCACAGGAGGAAGGGCAGGCACACGAGGTCCCCAGTGAATTCAGCAGAACTTCCTTGCCAGCTGCAGGCAGAACCATGGCATGCACTTTATTATATATTATATGTTTGATATATATGTAGTTATATACATACATATATACAGTGAGAACTGATCTCAAGTAACCCCTGCCACCTGCAGCAGTGACTCTTCAGCCTGAGGGCTGTTCTGGACTCAACTGCACCCACTACAAGATGCATATATTGAAGTCCTTACCCCCAGTACCTTAGAATGTGACTGTAGTTGGAGATTGTGTCATTAGGAAATGACGAAGTTAAAATAAGGGCACTAGAGTGGGCCCTGATCCGATCTGACTGACGTCCTTATAAGAGGAAATCTGGACACACAGAGGCACCCAAAGTGTGTATGCACAGAGGAAGGGCCACTGAGGACACAGCGAGAAGGCGGCTGTCAGCGAGCCGTGGAGGCCTCAGGACGAGGCCAGCCCACCGACACCTGGCCTTGGGCTTCCAGCCTCCAGAGCAGTGGTGTCTGTTGTTTAAAGCACCACCCCCCACCCTCCATGTACGCTGTTATGCAGCCCCCAGAAGACTAATACAAGGAGCCTGGGCACGCTGGCTTGGATGTGCCACCACTGCCCCACAGAGCAGCATCTGAGAACCCCTAACTAATCTTACTCACCACGGCCCGGTGGGAGCCATCAACACTGACTCGGAGCTCACTTTCTAGGGGTCAAATCAATGGCAAACAGACAATGGTTCCCTCCAGCACCGTGGCTGGCCCAGGATGATGGCCATGGCCTGAACCGATGATGCGATCTCATGCCTCCAGCCATGGAGAGGGCCTCATTCCTCAGCCAGCCCCCCATCCCAGCTAGGGGCCCATGCCACACCTGCTCCATGAACACGATTAAGGACTCCCGATTATTCTCCCACTCCTCAGGCAGCTGGCTCTCATGGGGATATTTATCACAGCCCACGTAGATGGACAGCTCGAAGCAGTTTGTGTGAAGGTAGCTGAAATCGTTGAGACCTGCCAAGCCAACCAGACATTTTCACTTAACACTTAATGCTCAGAGTGGCACTGGGGAGACTGCAAGAATGTTCCAGAACACGATTCAGTAGACTTCATTTGAACAAGGAGGTGTCAATACCTAGTACAGATGAAAAATTAATTAAAGCAAATGTTGGGGGATGGGGAGGAGGTAGAGAGAGAGGCTGGAATGGTGTAGGGGGAAGACAGGCACACACCAGCGAGAACATCTCTGACAGCAGGACTGAAATGCGTGCTTTCTACATAAAGTCCTGTTAATGTTATTAAAGTCAGTTTAACACTATTTTCAGAATAAAAGTATCATTAATTAACAGTATGGGTTTTAAGTATTATTAAATTAATGTCTAAAGTTATGCTCCTCTCAGCTACAGTTCTCTAGGTTTTCTATGCTAATTCATTAAAACAGCTCTCCGCAGCACTGTTTACTGAGTGTCTTACCTAAGCCGGCACACTGCATCCATTGGCCACAAACCCAGCACAGAGGTAGGTGGCATAGCATAATTTTACAAATAAGAAAATTGAGGTAGAGAAGAGTTTAAAAATGTATACAGCATCATGGGTCTGGAAAGAGCCAGAGTCAGGGTTAGAACCTAGGTGTGTGCGATGCCGAGACCTTGGTCTCATTTCCAAATGCGGCATGGCTGCATGGGAGCTGCAGGGCAAGCACACTCGCCCACTGAGCCTGAAAGCAGATGGGCCGCACACATCCTGGCATGTCTACAACAGGATGAAGCGCACAGCCTGGCACGGGGCTGGGGCCCTGGAGTAGTTTCCTAGGGCTGCTCTTACAAATGACCATGAACTTGATGGTTTACAATAGAAATGTACCCTCCCATAGTTCCGAGGCCATAAGTCCAAAATCAAGGGCTTAGCAGGGCCACGCTCCCTGCAAGGGCTCTAGGTGGGGGCCCTTCCCTGCCTCTTCTGGTCCTGGTAGCCCCTGGTTCCTTGGCTTGTAGCTGCTTCACTCCAACCTGTGCCTCTGTCTTCACCCGGCCTTCTCCTCCATGTCTGTGTCTTCTCCTCTTCTGCCCATTATAAGGACTTTTGTCAATGATCTAAAGGTCCATCCAGTTAATCCAGGATGACCTCATCTTGACACCTTTAATAATACCTGCAAAGACCCATTTTCCACAGAAGGTCACACTCACAGGTTCTGGAGATAAGAAAGCAAACATATTTTGTGAGGCCACCATTCAACGCTCTACAGTACCCAGTATTTCCTAGATGAGTAAATGAATGTCAGATGGCATAACGTTCCAGGAGCTCTCTTCCCAACATCTTTGCTTTTGGAGAACAGGGTGATCAGCGAGAACGCACTGCAGCTGTGCCCTGCATGACCTACCAGGATGAACCTCTGACAAACCCTCCGTGGGTTCTGAGGGGCAGGACTACAGACAGCAGAAGTTGGAGGGAACAGTTCTCTCTGTGTTGACTGAGATAGGTCCCGCACTCCAACCAGGAGTCACCATTCCTTCTTCCTCTCTTCTCACTTAGCTTGCCAAAAGGTGCCATGGTGCACTGCTCAGCCTAAATGTCCATTTAAAAACCATGGCTTTGGGTGTCGACAGCAATTCTGTATCAATCTGCTGCCTGACAGCTAAAATCACAGGCCAAATGACACCAAACACACTCTTCTTACCAGATTCCAGATCTGTACCATTCCCATGTCATCAGCCACAGGACTTTCTTCACATTCGAGATAAAACAAGAACAGCTGAGGGCAGTGGAATATAAAGGGTGGGACTGTGTCCAATGAATGGGGAATCCTTCGCAGAGGCCTGGTCTGGTTGAAGAACGTGGTCAAAATGCCAGGTCAACTGATGCACTCATGCCTGGAGCATGGACTTACCGAGAGCACAGGGGGGCTGGTGGATGACATGGCCACTAGTCACCACAGCTGTGACATCCTGGGAGTGCTGGGCTCCTCTGTGAATGTAACATTTTCATTATTCCTAGTCTCTTAGGCCTTGTTAGTACTGAAATAAATAAATATGATATCTAAAAACTCTGCAGTGGGCCTGCCATTTTGCAATACACGTCTTTAGACCCTAGCAGTGATCAGAGAACTGGCGAAATGATGAGAAACCAGGTGCACGTGGCAGAAGTGCACAGCCAGGCTGTCTTTGCTGCTGACTCCCAGCTCTTTGGTGAAGGTTGTAAGCTAAGGATACTTGGTAATAAATGACTTCAAAAGAGAAACGTGTGGGCAAGGAGCTGTATGTGACCCAGAGAGTTCTTCACAGCCTTCAGTCCTGGCTGGGGACAGCAAGCCTCTCCTTCGTGTTCTCTTTGCCTGGCATCTGTTCTTGTCACATGCTTTCATATGGGATGTGGAGTTGTGCGTTCCTTAAAGCTCTGGGTGCCTGAACTATCATAACAATGGCCTTCATCATCAGGGACAAGGCGCAGGCTGGCAGCCGAGGTACATCTCCATTATTTTGGAGTTAGAACGTCAGCACATGGCTGAAGAGGTTCACTTGGAGGATTTACTGAACTTGCTCCCCACTGCCCTGCTCTCTCCATTAACCACGCCTGTCAGTCACTGCTCACCAGCGGGCAAGAACCGAACAAAAAGATGGAGCGGAGGAGGGGCAGGGGGAGGGAGGAAATCAGAAGTCGCGTTTCATTAATCTGCAAAGAAATGAATCTGCAGACTTCCTCACATGGCCAGGAGGATGATTAAAAAGGCTCAAGCCACCACATGGTGTCCCCGAAATAATGGAAAATATAATTGATAGAAAAAAAATCCAATGCTGCCTATGTGATTATGCAGCAGACAACTTTTCAAAACGCTACTATTGACCTGACTCTGGCAAATCCAGCTGTGTCCACACCCAATTTAGTCACAGCAGCCATCAAAACCAAACAGATACTTCACATAAAGGTTATTATAGTTTTTTAGGGCCAGAAATGAAAAGCAAGAAAGCTCTTTGGCCATCAGGAAATTTTCTTGATGGGATTTGCATTTATTTTTTTACTTTGCAGAGTAAAACCAGGAGGAGATACATAAAATATTTCTGCTTGCTATGCAACCAAGAAAAAATTGGCCAGTTTTCTGTACATGTTTTAAAATGGCCACAGGAACAAATATATCTATTACTTTTTAATTTCTTCTTTCCCAAGGGTGGAAACACACCTAAAAAGTATGTGAAGGCTGAATCTCTAGCCAAGTAAAATTATACTGAAGTTGATTAAAAGAGTACAATAGAGAATAAGGACTTGATCGTAAGAGGCTTCATGGTGAGCCTGCTACTGGAAGAGGGGGGAGGGCAGGGGATGGGACTTACCATAACTGTTTCTATGACATAGAACACACCCACGACTGTCCCTACATAAGCCTCACAACCGTCCCAGAGCATCCTCACCATCCTCCCTCTCCTCCTCCTCCTCAAGCTGACTTTACAAAAGAAAAATATAGGGCTTCAGAGAGGTACAGCAACCTGCCCAGGGTCACGCAGCATCTAAGTGGTAAAATAGAATTCAGACCCAGATCTATTTGAATGGCACATTTTTCAAATTTTATCAGTAGTTTTCCCAATGCCCACAAAGTCAAGAAAATAAGAAATGAGCATTATGGTTGTGGTCTTGCCATCCCCAAGAAGAGGGACGTCACGTAATGCTGACATCCTCTTCCCTCCTCATTTGGGAGCCCTGGGTCGGGTGGAAACAAAGTGCTTATCCTGAAAGCTGGGCCGCTGGGTTCTCTGTGGCTGCTGTGAAGGAATTCCTGAAGTCTCCACCGGAAGGAAGCCTCTCTGGTCCAGTGTGGGTGCTGGGAGCAATACCACATCCTCCCGGCATGGCATTTAGTAGTGCTTCTACCAGGTACCCTGGCATAACTGGAGGTGGCCCACTGACTCCCCACAGGTGGGAGCTTTGTGAGTCCTCACCACGTTGGCCTCAGGGCACACCTGCAGCTCAAGGTTCACACCTGAGTGCACAATGAGTGCCGCCAGTCTGTAGGCTTCCGCACAGGGCAGCCCGCAGTGGGAGCAGCTCTGGGGAAAAGCCCTGGCCCAGGGCCAACACCACCATGTGCTCCGCCCCTTCACTGCATTTCCTTTCCGGCGCTATTTCCCCTAACCCTACAGTTGTCCACCTCTGACCCTAAAAAACCCAAATAGCTCAGTGGCTGGGAGCAGACCAGAGTCCAGCAGAGCCCAGCTCTGTCCCCTTCTCCCTGGGAGAGATCCCTTTGTGTCTAAGTCCTAATTATCTCATTTATAAACTGGAGGAGGCCCCACGCCCTCGAAGACTGTGGGAAGGATGCAAGGGGCAGCTAGGGAGAGTGCCGGCCCCTGTGCATGGGTGACTATGGCAGCTATGATCCAGGTACTAGCGGTAAAGGGAGGTTTGCGAGGTCGTGGTTTGCAGGGCCCTGCCTTTCCCAGGGAGCTCGTGACCATTCGGCCCCAGAGGACAGCAGGCCCATCAGACTTACTTCCTGCGACAGTGTGCCAGGAAGCCCCATTGACAGTCCCGTCCTCTTTCTGGAAGTCTTCCGTGTGGCACACCCTCCTTCTGGCGTCGGTCATGAGGCGGTGTGTGGAGGCGTACGAGTAGGCCAGCCAGCGGAACACGTGGTCGTCGGGCGTGGGGGTGTGCTCCTGCGTCTTCCACAGGGACCGCACCATGTCGTAGGGGTACGCCACCACCAGCTCCCCTCCCTGCAGGTTGCCACCCAGCACGAAGGGGATTTTTTCCATCCAGGCTATGACTGCCCTGGTCTCCACTGCCACCTGTGAACATTCCAGATTTAAAAACACTTCAATAAATTAAGTAAGGACATTGCTTTCTCTTTCCCCGGCTTTCCAAAAACAAGGAGAGTTGCAAAAACAATAATTTTATGGCATAATCGTAGCAAAATTTGGAATTTCAAAATTTGTTCTGGGAAAACTGGATTTCATGGAAATAATGGATTAAGAAAAGGGAAGTTTCTTTTCATAGGCTATTCGAGTTAATGCGCAAAGAGGGAATTAGAGTTAATCAACACTTTGCAATTCCAGTGAATTAAGGGTCAGGTAGGTTCCTCAGTGGTACAGACCACACAAAGTATGACCAAGCAATGTGACTCCTGATAGAAGAACACAGCCCCCCAAAAATACCAACCCCGAATATGACCAAGCCTCTAGTCTAGTGGTCAACAGAGTTTTTCCTGTAAGTGGCCAAATAGGAAATATTTTAGGTTTTGAGGGTCACGCAATGTCACTGCAACTACTCAATGTCACCACTACAGCAGGGAAGGGCCACAGACCCCATGCAGCTGAGTGTGGCTGTGTTCCAGGGGAACACCGTTTGCCAGAACAGGCCTGGGCAGGAGGTAGCCCACAGGCTGGGGTTTGCCAACCCCTGGTCTATCTAGCCTAGCCCAGCCTGAATCCAGAGGAATACGGCATCGCAAGCTCCCAGACAACAGGACATGCTACCGGACAATCTGGTTTGTAATCTAGTTGTCACAAGATAAACAAGAGCAACAAGAGTAACAAAAGTGCAAGGGAAAAGGACAAAGTGATAAGGGAGAAACCTATAGTTTAAAGGAGGTAAAAGATTTGTACCCCAAAGTGAATGGGCTTTAGTTGGAGCCTGATTGAAACAAACTGTGAGAGAGTCAGAACAATAACAGGGCAAATGCAAACACTCACTGGACATTTTATAATATTGAGAAAATAATTTATTTTGATATAATGGTAATGGTTTTAAAAGAGATACTATTGAAATGTTTAGGAAGCAAGTGCCTGGGATTTGCTTCAATATTCTCGGGGAGGAAGTGCCTGAAGATGTAGATGAAGCGTGAGCTGGTAAGCGCCAAAGCTGAGGGGGGCCCCTGGGGGTCCTTTACAGCTTTCTTTTTGTGTATGCCGGACAGTTTTTAATGATAAAAAGTTAAGAGAAGGAAAGAAAGAAAAAAGAAGGAAAGAGAACCGACAATGTCAGAAGTTAAAGTTGGAAGCTTGGTGTAGTGAAACGCTAATCAGTGAATCAGATATTTACCATGTTACTGATCCTTGGAGGATAATTCAAGAACAAAATTGATAATGGAAAAGAAATGAACATTGGAAATGGTGTAACTGTGCCATGTAGAAGGTTGATTAAGGGGTGACACTGACTTGATAGGACTCATGAAGTTGTGCTTTTGTTTTTATTCCTGAACACATTAGGGGCCCTCCATTTGACCAGTCACACAACTTAGCTCATTACACAGTATTGTTATTCACGCATGTGGGCCTCTGCTTTCATATATTTCCATGTGATAAACATCTGTCAAACCACTATCCATCCCAAGAACCAGAACTTACTGACAATTTCTGTGCATGTATGTGATTCCCTCTGACCCATTCTTCTCCTGTTTCCCACTCAGAGGTTACCTCTTGTGCTCAATGACATGATTCTGATTCTCCATCTTTTATTTACCTCGGTGTGTGAGCCTAAAAATATACTTTTTTTGATTTTATTTGATTTTGAATCTAAAAAGGGGGCAGGAGGTGACCATACTGATTGCCGTCTTCTGCAATATTTTTTCACCCAATTTACATTTCTAAGACTTCTCTGTGTTGCTGCAGAAAGCCATAGTTCAGTCTTCTCTTTAATATGAAGATCTCATCATTTAAATCCATTCTTGTGATGATGGGCAGATAAGTAATTTTCAACTTTTTGCTATAATGAACAGTGTTGCTTTGAACTTTCTTGTAATGTCTTCTGTACACATGTGCTGAAATTTATCTTGTATGAATCACCAGAAGTGGAAGTGCAGAGTCACAGGACATATACATATTCCATTTTACAAGATAAATTATTTTCCAGAGTCACTGTACTAATTTACACTCTTACCCACAATGTGTAAGAAATCCCCTGTCCCTAGCGTCTCCAACAGCTGGCTACTGTTGGACTTGATCGTACCCATCCGTGGGTGTGAAATGTTCTTATCTGCATTCGTTCGGCTGAACATTTTTTCATGTATATTAACCACATTTCCTCTTTCATCCTCCTCTTCTATCCTTCACTCATTGTCTACTGAGTTGTTTATATTTTTCTTGTAATTCCTTAAGTACTTAAAAATTCTAATACTTTTCCACTTATATAATTTGCAAACTTCCCTAAGTTTGTAACTTTTCTCATAGTTTCTTAAATCATTGATGAACAGGCTTTCTTATTTTGATGTAGTTGAGTTTATTAATCTTATTTTATGATTAATGTCATTTAAAATAGCCTTTCTCACCCTGGAACTAATCACCTATATTATACAGTTTCACTAAGAGATTTTACTGTGAATAACTATTAAATTATATCAAGTGTTTCTTTCTGCAGACAAATCACTTCATGTTTTTTCTTTGTTTTCTATCATGTCATTGATTTCTGCTCTTACTTTTTAATCACAATCATTCTACATTATGGGGCATATTTTTTTCATTATCTTTTTGCTTCTTTAGTTCATCTTCAGCCTTTCCTCTTTTGGAATATAATCATTTAAAGGTATAAAATTCCTGAAAGCACTGTTTTTCGCTGCATGCCACAAATTTTGATATGTGAGGTTTTCATTATTACTGAGTTCTAATTATTTTTTAATTGCCAGGATGGTCTTTAAAAAAAAATCTTATTATTTAGAAGTTTTCTTTCTTTAATTTACTAATAAGTATATTAATTTCACTAATCTACTTTCTGTCTTCTAATTTAGTTGTATGGTGGTGAGAGCTGACTCTTATCTGAAATTTCTGAGATTTCCTTTACAGCACAGAGCATCATCAATTTTTGAAAATGCTCCAGGGATTATTCAGAAGAATATGTACTCTCTGTTGGTTATAGAATTCTTTTAAATCCCTATGTCAAGCTTGTTGTTATTCATATCTTTATCTTTGCTGGTTTCTTAACTAACCTATCCATAGCTGAGAAAAGTATTGGTGATGGGGGTTTGCGTAAGTCTCCCTGTGTATCTAAAGAACAAGCTCAAAAAATGAAATTCTAGCCTTAAAGGTAAGACTGAAACCTAAGGACTTTCTATGGCTGTGTTCAAAGACTTATCTCTTACAGCCTCAGGGCTAAGAAAGCTGGCAACCATTTTCCAATTTTTGTCCAAGGTTCTGAAATTACATCACTGAATTCTCAGCCTTACCATGTATTATTAGTATGTCAGTTTGAAAAAAGGGGGGATTTTGTAGGATGGAACTAGAAAACATGACAAAGGATTCAGAAGACCCAGAGGCTCTGAATCCTCTACTCCCATAAGCCGCCCTTGGGCACCCTGACTAAACCACATGGAGGCACCACTGTTGGACTCCGTCACTTAATTGACTTCTTGACGGTCTGGGTGACACTGGCCTGTGCTTCACCAAATGAGGCAACCACCCCGGCCCTCCTCCAGTAGGTGGTACGCACATGCCGTGAGTGGAGCTCCGAGGCAGGGCCAGAGAGCTGCCCTCTAGCCATTTGTCCCATCTCCCTCCATTCCTCAGGAATGGACCGTGCAATGGGCTTGTCTAAAATACAGCTTTTCCCAGCCTTCCCTGCACTGGGTTAATATTATGTTTTGACTAAATTCTGGCCAGTGAGATTTAAACAGAAGTATTCGGTAGGAATTCTAGGAGTGCCTCTTAAAGGTAATTGAATTATCTAAGAGAGGAAGACCTTCTTTTTTTCTCTCTCCTCTTCCTCCACAGACATGCCAGGTGCAGCATCAGCTGCTGACATGGTGGAGGCAGAAGGAGATGAGTTCTTGGTTTCCGGTAGCCATGAGGCTTCTATTTGGCTGACCACGTGCCATCTGCTCCAGGGCCCTTCTCCCTCATTAAGCCAACAGTACTATGGTTTTTCTGTTGTTGCTGAAACTAACCCTAACTTATACAGCAGTCAAGGCCCAACCTCTGGCCCATATGAGCAAAGGCCAGGGGGTAGGAGGTGGTTACTATGCGCAGAGGATGCAAAGGGAGCATGGGAAGTTTTGTGAAAACTTTTCTTCCACAACATATTCTTTGTGAAACAAGACTTAAGAAATTTAGGGGAAGCATTTCTCATCCAATTGCTTTTTCCTTTCTGAAGAAGCACCACAGGTAATGAATCCAGGGGAACTTATTAAAATAAAAACTATATATCTCAAGAAATCAGGGCCAAGGATAGTTTTATAGCTCTGCTAACCATGGGGGTAATAATGATAGTAAGGAACATGCACAATTCAGGGGAAGCTGGTCTTTTCTTTCTTGTATGAAGCACTATGTGGTTGGAAAGAAATATAAAGATATAAAGTGATTTCTCTTTATTGATTTCTCTGTGAAGAATCTTCTCAAATACCAATTTTAAAGGTGGTTAACTGTCTAGTACAACTCCATGCTTTTGGAGAAAACATGAACGAAAAAACGGTTTTGTCTGGTTCTTAAATGTCATGTTCTCTGCAAATACCAGTGGCTGTTAACTTTGGCCTTCCGCTACTCTGAAGATCCTGGGGTGTTTCTACTCACCGTGGCATTTTCAGACAGAAACCACTCAGGGATTGCAATATAGTGATTGGGAACTTTCCTTGGGATGTTCTGTCGGCCCTCTGCCTCCCAGAGCGGTGTGTTTAAGTCAGGGAAGTTGTTGTTGATGTCGATCCCATCATGGGTCCAGCGTCCCAGAGACCAGCCTCCCAGCTCAGAGCCCTGGGAGACAATTCAGAATGTGAGGGACCCACAGGCTTCTGGTCAGTGCTGGCGCTCTCGTACAAGAGGCCTCCATCTCCATCTCCACCTGGGTGTCTCTAAGCCTCCACACATCCTCTGAGCCAGGGATGGTACCCAAAAGAGAACACTGAAACATTTTTTGTTAATATTAGGGGGATGATGGGTAATACAGTCAAATCACTCCAAAGAGGCAATATAGAGTGCTTTGCATGGCAGTGCTCAAAATGTGCAAGGTCCCTTCTTCCCCTCTTCTCTCCTCTGACAGCTTCTACACTAGTCAGATGAAAATCCTATAGAAATGAATTTAAGAGTCCATCATTGCAAAATCAACAGCCACCACAATCAATGCATCCCCCTGCTGTGCCCACAATTCTGGCTCATACATCCTTAACCAACTGGGATTGCAACTGGTCCTGAAAATCCCTACCCATTTGTACCAATAAACACACCAAAATTCTGTGTCATAAGGCTTGCATTTCATAGGCACCATAGTTTTAGGTATAGTTTTCCATTTTACTCCCAGATAATACTAACTATACTCTAGACACAACTCTATACATATGTATTATATTCTATATGTGTGACCTATACATGTAACCTATTACGATGTAGAATTCTACATCATAAGTAGAATGTGAAATAGAAACAATACATCAAAATAACAAAACTATTCTCTCCAGAGGACTGATGAGAGGATTATAGGTAATAATCAAGGTAAAGTGTGTGCCTTAAGTGCTTAATTAATGCTAGGTGTTATTACTATTCAACTCTACTGTCGTCACATGTACTTTTTCCAGTTTGTTAGCATGCCCAGCACTCAGGGTCCCATAATTCTCACGAGCCTGCTTTGCATTGTTCCTAAGCCTGCTTCCCTGCATCCACAGAGAGGCACTCAAAAAGGAAGGTGGTCGTGTAGAAATCGAATCAGCGGACAGCCCAGCATGCAAGAGGGGTGGAGCATTACCCCCTCGTAGGCCTTCTCGTAGCCGTCGGGGTTGAGGGAGGGGAGGATGTGGATCCGGGTCTCCTCCACCAGACGGACGATGCGTGCATTCCCGGCCAGGTACTCCTGGCACAGAAACTGCATCAGCAACAGCGTCAGCTCCCGGCCCAGCACCTCATTGCCGTGGGCCCCTGCGATGTAGTGGAACTCAGGCTCACCTTTACTCAAAGACAGGAACAGATGCAGGGTCTTATCAGATGATTCTAGCAAAACAGCTCTTATCGTGTGTTAGGAAGAAAAACTTCTCAGTAATATAAACTTATAGTTTCAGGCCTCTCTGTTCTTTCAAATAAACCTTCAAAGTTGTATCAGTAAAATTTTTTTAAAATTCCCAAATAGGTAAATAAGAAAACGTCTAGAAAAGTCTTCGATGACACCAGCCACAGGGAAATAATGTGTATTCGTATTTAGCAAGAATAGGTAATATAACACAGTGCATAGGGCTTAAAATGTACTAATTAAACACAAGCCACAATTACTTTTCTCTTTTGGGAGGCAATTTTTTTCTCAAAGGAACTTCCCAGTCAATTTTACAAGGACACAAAGATAAATAAATATAAGCCCAGAGGGCAAATCAGCAGGGATACAGTTTTGTAAGGAGGCTGCCTCTGAGCTTTTCAATGTTGGAGTGGCCAGTGCTGGGCATGAGCCGACAGCACTTCCTGCCTCACCGGCAGAGCTTCCACTACTGAGGAAATGTGACCCTTCAGTAGGAACTTCTGAGAGAAACCCCTGAAATACTGATGAATGTTAGACTTGAATGAATCAGATAAACATCTGCACTTAAATATCATTGGATTTCTAAAGCACTCACAGATTTTTACCAAAAAGAAAATCACAGAAGGCCCTCTGACCTGGAGGGGAACATAGTTTTGGGAGTGACTAAATGGGAAGTGACTGAAAATAGGAGATGCCTGAAAACAGAACTGAAATAAAAGATCATTTAGGGACCCTCCTCTAACTTGAGACATTAAATGACCAGGAAGTCCAGAATTTTCTTCAGGAAAAGGACTCAATCTTGACTCTGGCCACTTCTTTGTTTAGTATAAGTGTTCTCAGAGCTGGAGTACAGAATTCATATGGTCCATTTGGAGAAAAAGTGAGTATTTCTAGCTTAAATATGTCAACAGCTCAAAATACAAGTCAAGAGGTTCACAAAACCAAACTTCACAGACTGTGAGAGTGGGCGCATGGAGAGCTCTTGCCCTGTGCCAGGAATATTTTCACAGGGAAGAGCCATGTCCTCACTCTTGAAGGAGGCACCAGACATGAAGGGACAGGCACATCAAAGTGGAGCAGTCTCACCGACTTCATGCTCCCCGGGGTGGTCAGAAATCTCCACAGCATACAGCTTGAGGCCCTGATGGCTCTTGCCAATGTTGTAAATTCTGGTGATATTGGGGCACATTTCATTTACAACCTTCATCAACTGAAAGACAAAATGGAGGTAAGGCTTCAAGCAATGATGACTATGCATTAGCAGGGATGGAGCTCCCAAGAAGACAGCTCCCGGCCACCTCCTCCCACAGTCCCCCTGTGCAGCTACCCTCCCCACACACCAGTGCTATCTTCTCTGCCTGGAACGTTTTCCTTGTGCCCCTTCTGCCCTATCCTCTCAACACCCCTTGGTTGTGGTATCAATTCCCTTGATGTGATTTTCATTTTCTGGGTTGTAGCTATCACTTCCCTTGGTTGTGGCTATTATCTCCCTTGATTGTGTATCATCCCCTTGGTGGTTATCATCTCCCTTGGGTGTGGTTATCACCTCCTTTGATTGTGGTTATCATCCCCTTTGTGGTTAGCACCTCCCTTGGGTATGGTTAGCACCTCCCCTGGGTGTGGTTATCACCTCCCTTGATTGTGGTTAGCACCTCCCTTGGTTGTGGTTATCACTTCCCTTGGTTGTGCCTATCATCTCCCTTGATTGTGAAGACACCGTTTGCTCCCTCCTAGAGTTTAGAGAACAAGAGAGGGGAGTCATATGATGACCGCATGCACTGATGCTACGTGAGGGGATAAGGGAAGGCCATGATAATGGGAATCATGCAGTTAAAGGGTGGGGAAAGCAGGCTTCAACAAGGAATTGAAATAGAAATGTTGTTTGCTAAATTCTGCTCTTAAAGTCAGTCAGCTTTAGTGCGCAGGAATGAGATAGCTGCCATGGAGGGAAGGAGGACTCTGCTAGTGGCAGGAGCATAAGCCGCCCTCAGGGACAGAGAATAGAGACCCCTTCCCCAGAGACTGCCTTGCCTCTGATCTCTGAGTACCCGTAAGTGAGATGTTAAATAGCCTTGAATTGCTGAGTGCAATTGTTTAGGAATCCCGAAGTGAAAGAAGATCTTTCAAAGGACATCTTAGCCAGGCACCAGACTAGCTACCATGCTCATGGTAGAGGCAGGAGCATTCACAGGACAATAAATAACAGCCAGGAGGGGAGCAGGTGCTGCGGAAGCAGGGAGGATGGACATCCATCCATCAGGGAGGGCTGCCTCCTTTAGAAACCTGAGCGGGAGGCTGCGTGGTGGTGGCTGGAGAAAGACACAGTACAGGTGGACAGCGTAAACCTGAGTGTGCTCTATCGTCTTTCAAAAAATTCTTGGTCGATAAATTATCCATAAAATGTCTTTGTAAATTGTTAAGTAAACAAATCTCTTGCCAATTTTATGGTGTGTTAAAACCTAGAACTAGAAAATCAGTACTAGGTAGAGTTTCTGACACGGTCGCCACATTGCAGTGCATTTCATTTGCCTTTCATCACATGGGTCTGCAGTGCCCGGGTGAGTGCACTTCAAGAGCATCATTGAGCATTTCTACAGGAACGGAGGGAGGGACTGATGGCTGCCACGGCGTGGCTATCATGGCACACCTGTGACAGCACAGGTGCAGCTTGGCCAGCCATCCAGGCTCAGTTCTCTTGTGGCTCCTGGGGGAGGACGTGCCTCATTTTATGCTAACTCACTTCGTGTCACAATATCCATGTGAGAGAAAGAGAAAGCTGCCTCTAAAATAATCTTGTCCACAAGAGGGTCAAACCAGAAACCCACCCTAAGTAAGAAACAGCATTGCAAGGAAAACGGATTCAACACCCAGGGCCACAAGGGATACATGTTGTAGGGTTGAAATCATCAGCATGAGAGACGCTGTAATAATGTCATTAGTGATGTTCACAATTGCAGTAATAATACATTCTATTTCTCTACTAAACTTCACCATCATGACAACGAGGCAGAGGGGACTGTCCCCATTCTACAGATGTGGAGTCTGAGGCTCAGAGAAACATACAGTGATTTGTCCAGGGTCACCCAGCTGGTACAGGTTGAGCCAGGGCTTTGGACTCTCACTCTTAACCTATTTGTGACAGAGCAGCAGTGAAAACCAGCAATTCTCTGCTGCCCATTTTGTTTGCTAGTCACTCTGACTATTCAGAAAGATGGCACAGCACAACTGGCATCTGATTCGGATCCCTGTGTACTAGTTAGTCCCTGCTGACTGCACATTCTCAGCTGCCAACATCGACCTCAGCGAATCCTGATCAGCAGGTGATTTGCTGTGTTGCCTTCAGATCAATGACTAGTTCTGCAGACAGCCTCTCAGCACATCCTTAACTAGGCAGTGAACACAAGCACTGAGCACAGAGCCTGGCTGTCATTCAGTGCCCACCATCCTCCCCCTTTTGATTAATGGCTGCAGAAATATGCCACCTGTGTTGGAGACCATGCCCTTGACTCTGGAAAAGACAAATATCATCTTCCTTGGGATGCACGCCCAGCCACAGATGCAGTCTCTCACTATGAGATGACTCTCAGCTGTGGGTCATCAGTCACCTCTGTACTTTATCCACTGACACTCCATTTTTATACCAGCCATGTCTTCCTTCCTTGTACTGTGGTGTCACAAGCATCATTTCCCCACACAGCAATGAGAATGCACACATTTGAAGAACCTCCTTCTGTGAAGGTTCTTTCCAATTCTCTCTGCACAGTGGGCCTCTGAAAGGCCAGCACGGTTTCTCCATCAAGGGCCTGGGTGGTGATCCACTTTGATACTTGTGTGGAGTTTAGATCTTAGCAGTGAATGTTTGCATCTTGACAGTCACAGAGAGAGTAAGGACTAGAACTTCCTCCTGGCCTTGGAGCAAAATTCTCAACAGGGGGTATCACTCCAGGGAGGCAAAATTGGTTCTTTGGGGCTAAGTTAGATACGACAATGCTTTGTGGCCCTTCAAAACTAAACTCTACCCAACAAAATCTTATTCCTAGTATTTAATATAATGGGTGGAGGATAACTAGGAAAAGTGTTTACAAAGACTCCTTAGGGGAGCAGTAATGAACCACAGCTGGGCAACATCGCCTTGGAGCACCTGGGTCTGCAGGGCTCTCTGCCTCACTAAGACCCTGTTTCCTCATCTCTGGGATGAGAATAAACTTTGCCATCCTTGTATCAACCGAATTTGAGGCTCTCTTACTTCCCTCTGTCCTAAAGGAAACAGAAGGAAGAGCTCCCTTTTCTAATAATTCAGTTTCTAGCAATGTATCAGAAGGAAATTTTTCATAAAGAAAGGTAAAATTGTATGTAGGATGACACTTCTTGCACGATTCAAGCTTTCTCAGTCTTCATGGAAAATTGGGAGATATCCAAATGCTCCCAAGCTGGAAGATGGCTGAGAAAACTATGATGTATCCATCTACTGGAATTTTCTGCAGCATCACCATTACAATTATGAACACAGCATGGAAAATGGCTACTGCTGGCTGAGAAAAGCAGGGCAAAATTGTAACCATCCCCTGATCAAAATTATATGAATTCTGTGAATATAGAAATTCAAACCCTGGATAGAAATGGGGAAAAATGTAAACTGGGGATTCTTAGGGTAGTGGGTTAGGGAAGGATTCACCTTTAGACTTTTGGTTTGTGTTTGAGGTGTACACAATATTGTCTGTCTGGTGCATTAAATGTTAAAAAAAAAAAAGACAAAAAGCCCTCTTCCACCGTCTTTACTCGGTTGCTTGAGAAACAGATACTGCATGTGCTGAAGCAGAAAGAACTCCCAGAGGGAGGGAGCGGGGAGAGAATCATGGCAGGAGGCACCCCACGGGTGGGGCTGGGCATGCACTATCTGCAGGCATCCACCCTGCCCTGGATTCCTGCTGCCATCATCTCCCCAGGGGCAGCCGGGCATGCACAGGCGAGCAGTCTCAGCCTCGGCCCCGCAGCCTGATGCCCCAGACCCTCCTTAGCTGCCCCGGAGAGGGATACCTTAGCTGGCTGCCTTCCTCCTACCGCACCATACTCTGATCATCGGCCAAACCACACAGAACCTCCTGCGCCCCTGGGAGCTGCCCATGCCATGCCCCAAACCAAGGTCACAACCTGAACTTTCCCCTCAAAGCCACTTCTTCCCTCCCTTTGTGGATGGTACCCCAGCCCCCTCAGAAGCTTGCCAGACCCCTCTCCTCTCTCTCCCCCAGCTCACTCCAGCAGGTCACTAGGACTAGCCAGTCCCCCCCCAAAATGCCTCTCCCCTCATCCTCCCGCCCAGGTGGGTCCCTCTCCCGGGGGCTGTGGCCCTGCTCACCAGTCTCTGCTCCATGCAACCTCCAGACTGACCTCCCCGACACACAGCACATGTAAAGAGTCGCCTTTGATTCTCAGGCTCAGGACAGAAGCCCCTCCTGGCTCTCGGGGCCCTGTCCGCCCAGCAGACTCCCACCTGCTCCAGAAACATGTTGCAGGCTCCCACCGCCACACCTTCCACCCTTTGCTCTCGCCGTGCTTGCTGCCAGTGTGCCCTCCCTTCTGCCTGTGCCTGCCCAGGCCCTGGACACTGGGTAACCCCGCCTGCCACCGAAGCCCTTCCTAAGCCTGGCTAACCAGGCCAGTCACCTCTCTCTCTTATTCCCCAAATATGCCCCCATCGTGACCTCAAATGTGCTTATTTATCTAGTACACATTATACATTCATGATACAATGACAGTCTCTGCCCTCATGATCCCAAGAGGAGACACGTCACATACATGCAGACAAACAGATGACCGAGCAGCGATGAACGGGGACATGCTGTGAAGGCCTGCGGCGCTCCCCAGACAAACGAACTTGCCCTGCCTTATAAAACCAGAGTCTGTGCAACTTCTCCCTTCATCTCCTCCTTCCACCCCCATGCAGTACGTTTTTCTGTTTTCTCTTCTCTCTTCTCGCTCCTGCTGCTGTTTCTCATATTTTTGTTTGTTGGAATTGTCTCTTTCAATCCTAGGATAAACGAACATTTTTTTCCCCCTGAAATAGAAAGATTTCTACAGTAATCTAGCAGACTCCATACGGGGAATTGCTATAAATGCTGGCTTCTTTCTCATCCCCAGGAGCCAGGAATGCAAAAGGCAAATCACTTCTGGCTTGCACACTCTTCAGGATTGATGGGTGCTCCCTGGACAGTTTCCAGTTGAGAGCTGTGGGGCCCTGGGACCTGGGAGGGGTCACCTAGCCTTACCTGCAGGGTCTGCATTGACTACGTCAAGGTTCCTCTTAGCTTAGCACCCACCAACTAATGGAGAGCAGAATTCCCTGGGGTCATGAAGCATACTGCACTAGCTCTCCTTACGTGAGAAGCTCCCTGGTTTTCCACGGAGGGCAACTATTTAAAGATACTAGCTACCTGGGCTCTGTGCAGTGGCTCATTTTAAAATGCATTCAGGTATATTGCTTTTGGCATTAATTGCACCAAATGAGTTGATATTTGTCTAATTTCTGGACTCAGAAACAAGTCCTGAGAGGTCCAGGGAGCAAAGCTGAATTACTGCCCAGTGCTCTGTGAAATGGAATGCTAAGCAGAGTCATATAAATACCTGAGAATGTAGAGCAGCCAGAATGATTCACAGACCTCAAGTCCAAACACATTATCCTCATTTCTGAAGAGCAAGGCAGCAAGACAATTTCTTTAACTCGTCCTGCCTCTAAGTCTGTGCTGACAGGTGTCTGGAAGCTGGAGGTGAGTATCTCAAATTAATGACATCGAGACAAACTGGGTTTGTTGATTCCCTGGGATGAGGCTGAGAACCTTCGGGGCTCAGCCTGATTGCTCCAACCTCAGGAACGTGTCCTGTGCTTGTACCGGGCAGCTGGTTCCTTCCCTCAGCACCAGTGTTCCCTTGCTTTGAGCCATGTTAATCTGCTCTTGGTGAACCCCTGTTCTGTAAACGTGTTGGTAAGAACATCTACATTTATTCCATCTCTTCAAGCAGATTCTTAGATACCCAAGGACTTCTGGTTTGCCAGCACCTCCCCGAGCCTTCTGGCACCATGCTGGGGGCAAACGCGAGCAGGATTTCACAGGCAGAGCACCCAGCATAGGAACTGCTTGTCCGATATTACGTTATACATAATACACATATTACATAGAATATATATATATATATATTGCCCTATATATGAGCTTGTCCTAATAAATGTATGGTCCCTGCTCCCTTCCATACCCAGTATGCAAATGCTGTCTACAGCCCAGAATTACTTGGTTTCTGTAATTCAGTCTGGGGGGAGTCTCACCTGCGGTCATCTTTTTTCCTAACAGTACTAAGAGCTACGAGCTACAAAAGGTTTCAGCCGGTAGTTCTGAAGCCTGGCTGTCCATGAGAATCACAAGGAGAGCTTTTCAACATTTAGATGCCCAGGCCCTTCTTCTAAGGTTTCTGCTTTAACTGGCCCAAGGTGGGGTTCCAATACAGACATTTTTCCAAATTTTCCCAGGTGATGATAATATGCAACCGAGAATGAGAGTCAGAGAATCTAAATAACAATGAGTAGTGTGATATATTCCCTCCGTGACCCAGCTTTCCCATCGTAAGACAAGGACAACACTGTCCCCGCCCACCTAGGGAGGGTGGAGGGCAACCACATCAATGCAGGGAAATTGCTCAGGGAGGTAAATTAATGCAGGTTCTGTAGGAGGGCTTCCTGCTATCACCACTGTAAGTGATATTCTAGATTCTTTTTCTTCTCCAACTTCTGCACGTGACTACCATCCTCAAATCAGTGTTACCCCTCAAACAGCAATTCTTAAGAACTAGAGTATTAAACCAGAAAAGTCTGGGGTTTGAATTCTGTTTCAACCTCTTGCTGGCGAGGCAGGCTTCCTCCGTCACCCAAGCCCCCAAGGGGCACTCTCAGCCTTATAACCACAGCATTCAGTGTGGCCTCAGCAAACCAAAACGATCATTTGGATGCCTATCCCAAAAACGTCATCCTAATTCTGGGGAAAAAAGTGCACACTGCTGGGCACATGACATATGCTTGTTGACAAATATAGACCTCACCTGGCGCATTTCCTTATAGTTGTGGTGCTTGAAATCCAGGTCATCGGTGGTAGTCATTTCATTCCGCCGGTGATAATAATTATTTGGATCTAGGGACAGAAATATGGTTTTGAATTCACTCACATCATCCTATTACTTGTTGTGGCTCTTTTAGGTGCTTGATTCATGTGGAGACATGGACAGGGGTGAGAGAGACAACTTTCAAGAAGCATCTTAGGAGTAAGAATTAGCCAGGGGTGAAGAGCATGGGCCTGGAGCCCGAATGCCCCTGAATGCCTGGGTTCAAATCTCTGCTCTTCTAGTTAGGGGCTGTGACCGTGGGTATGTCGTCGGAGAAGTCTCGCCTTAGTTTCTTCACCATGAACGGAGGAAAGAAAGGCACTTCCCTTCTGGTTTACTGCTCGGATTAGTTGGGATAATCTCTGCGGCTGCCAAACTGTCAGCATGAACTGCAGGAATGAATAAGTGAATGAACAAATTGTCACAACAACACACATTAATGGAAATTTCTGGAACTGTAGTGGACACAGCAGTTGCTTACCCAGCATTCAGTCCACTTCCATCCTTCCTAACAGAAGCCCTGTGTTGTTTGGGGATCCCCCCTTTTCCCCTTCCAGGAAGCAGACCTTGCCTCCCAGCTCCAGGCTCCAATGTGACTGGTCTAAGCTGATCAGACACAGAATCTGGCCATGCTCACGGGTCCAGATTGAAGGGAAGACTTTAACGGCGCAGAGGATGAGTGAGCGAGGATCTCTCCAGGATGGAGGACAGAGAGAACCAACCCCATTCCATCAGGAGCTACTGAGGCAGCAACCCTGGATCCTGATCAGCCTCCCTTGGGGCTTCCAATCCATGAGATAAAGAGTTCCCTTAATCACCAAGCCAGCAGGAGCCGGGGTTCCTATCATGGGAGCTGGAGCACCCACTTACTGCATACTAACACTGGTGACCTCTGGAGACTGGGGTCCAGGCAGCCAGGGAGGAGGTATCTGCTCTCAACTCAATTCTCTTCTGTGTAAACTGACTTCTTTTTCTTCAATATCTATAAGCATGTATTGTTTGTTTAATTATGAAAATAAAGAACACTCAGAAGAAGGGAGAGACCAGGAAGGAGGAAAACTGAGGAGGGTAAGTGGGAAGGGAGCACCCAGTGGGCCCTGAGGTCCCGCTCCTGATCGGACGTAAAGCAGGGAGGCTTACAGACCCTCAGCCGGCCTCGTGACACCTCCGTCTGGGGGAGCTCAGGTCCCCCTCCAACAAAGCGAGAACATGGTGCTTTAGATAGAACAATATTAGTCCTAGAGCCATGTAAGCAGAGTTAGAACCACAGCCACTACAGGTTTTATGCAAGTGGCTGAAAGGGTGACTCCGGAGGTGGCGGCAGCAGGTGATGCAAGGGACAGCACCTGCCCCCTGAGGCATTGGGGCAGCAAGTCCCGACGCAGGCCACCACCTGCAGTCCGCAGACCAGCACTTTGGCTGCTGGTTAGACCCAGCCCAGACCAACTGAATCAGAATCCACATTAAAAAAAAAAATCCCAGCTGACTCTACAGGCTGGGAAGTTTGAGAAGCACTGTGTTAAAGTACTGAACACACTGCCAGTGGGACGAGGTACTCAGCACACAGCACACACATCTGTGGTCCACTGAACTGACTGCATGTCTGCATCTCCACAGCCACAGGCCGTGATGCCCACACCGAACTTGCCAGGGTTCACTTAGAGTCTAGGAACCCCCCCTGAGACCTGAGGCCACAGGCAATGACTTGAAAATCACATTGACCCAAACACTGAAAAGACTGTTTTTAATACTCACAAAAGGCTTGCTAGTAATACTTTTAGAAACAAATACTGTGTTGAAAAGGAAATGATGTGGGAAGGCAAACTGGCATTTTGTCCAGGAAAGAAAAGAGGAGGCAATTTAGGTTTAGCAAAGGTCCCCCAATTATTTTTCAAGCTTCTTCCTTTTGGGTGAGTGCGCTGACCACACCCTCAGAAGATCTGCCTTCTCTCTGATTTCCAAACCTGTTGTTTCAAAGCAAAGGTAAAGCATATTTTTCATATTAATTTACCTACATGCTGTTTTCTAAGAGCTATGCGACAACCCCCCAAGTCCTGGGGGCCTCTTTCCAATATTCTCTAAAGCCCCCTTTGTCCTCACAAACAAGTCATGCCTTCAAAGTTCTTAAAAAGGATTGAAGAAATGAAAAAAGAGCCCATGGTTGGCAACATCCTCCTTCCTTACGACTAATCAATCTGTCTAAGGATATGGAAATAAGTTCCAGAACTGCCTCAGAATCACAGATGAGTATTTTTTACAACATTCAGCCTCCCACATTTTGAATATCTCTTTACTTGTCTGCTTACTCTGATTGGGGGTAGTTGTATTGAGAACCTACCTAGAGCCCACCACTCTAAGGAGAGATGAGTGGAAACCAGGCCCACCCACCCAGAGCCCGAGTCTACGAGTCTACACACACACAGCCAGCCGGCCAAGCCCACTGTCCCCGTCTTCCTTCTGTGGACAAAAGATTCCTCCTGTGGGGAATCTATTTCGGATGATTCAGTGGAACTGCCATGCCCGGCATGCAGAGGCATGGGCATGTGACCCAGGTCCAGCCAAGTAAAACACATACTTCCTCTGCCCCTAGTCACCAGCTCAGAGATGATCCCAAAACCCAGAATCCACACCGGACCCATCAGATGACTTTCTGCCCAGAGCCAAAGGGAGAGAGTTTCTCCTGCTGGAGTCATTGAGATGGCAGGAGCGGGTTTGGGGTGTTAGTGGCCGACCTCCCCATCTGTGAGACAGCGAGAAGGGGAGCCCTGGCTGTACCTGGCAGGCACTGAGATAACAGGCTGTTCTTGCCTGAAGCCAGCGTCAGCTCCAACCCCAGGGCTTTTCATTTACAGGTGCCAAAATTTTCCTCCCCCTGTCCCCTTAAGCTCCTGTGAGTGGGACTTCTGACGTTTGAAACAGAAGTGCTGGCTGACTCTCCTCACAGACGGAGCTCTGGAGAGTCGGGCTCCTGCTGCTCTCATGTGGCGGCTTTGTATGTCCTATGTTCTGAGAACCGGTTGATGGCTCCCAAACACCTCAGCTATGGGGACAAACTCCAAGCAGGGCTCATAAACCTAAAACCGTCTGCCCAACTTTACATCTCTTATTTGACTACCAGAAATCCTGCTCTGCCCAAACTCATCTACTGCCGATGCCCGCTTTGGCCTGGATCATGCACCCCCAGAAGAAATGTTGGCGTCCTAACCGCTAGTACCTCGGAATGTGACGGCATTTGGAAAGAGGGTTTTTACAGGAGTAATCAACTTAAGATGAAGTCCTTGAGTGGGCCCTGAGCCATCATGACTATTGTCTACTAGAAGGCGGAACATGAACACAGATGAACACTCAGGGAGAGCGCCGCGTGCAGGTGGAAGCGGAGGTCAGGTGCTCCACCAGCCAAGGAACAGCCCCGCCTCCTCGCTGCCACGGCCGCCCGCTCTCCCCGTCCCGTGTCAGGCTCCGGCTCGCTCTGCAGGACTCTGGATGAGAACAGTAATAATCCCAGACCAAACCCTGCTACTGGGAAGCCAAGGAGAGGACAAGATTCCTGGGCTGTTCTGCTCTGCTGTTTGCCGCCTTTGGGCTGCGATCTCGCCCGGAAGGAGCAGAGGAGGCTGGCAGAGGAGAGGCTACCTTTGCTGGAAAGGGCCCCCCTGCAATCAAAAATCACCGGACTCACAATTCCTTAGATATGCTTTATCCAGAACAGGCACATCCACGAGACAGAGCAGATTAGAGGTTCCCAGGGATGGGGGAGGGCGACTGGCGAATGACTACTAGGGTCCAGGGTGTTTTTATGGGCCTGTGACAAGGTTCCGAACCTGGAGAGAGCTGTGCTTGCACAACCCTGTGAACACACGAAATATCATTGAACTGCATACTTTAAAATGGTTAATTATATGTTTTGGGAGTTTTGCCTCATTAAAAAAAAAAAGAACTGGTGACCTTAAAGTGCTGTCGGAGGACTAAGGAGGACCCGGAAGCACACAGCCACAGCAGGCCTTTCCTTACCTTCCTCTTCTCCCAAGACATGCCTGCCGCTATGGCCTTGTGACCTCCCTACGCACCAACAGCCCCAGCGTGAGCCCTGAGCCCAGATGACCTGGTACCGTATGCACACGGGGCACCAAATCCTTCTGCAAACGGCTGGCTCCTTGGTGAAAGAAGTCACCTGTGTCCTGACCCCATCAGATTATTCTTGTGTCAAGGCCATTCCAGGAGCAGCAAAGAGATGAGGACCCCCTGGCAGAACCCAGCCAGATCCCAGGCAGCCAAAGGATCAAACCCACAGCTCTACGTGGCTCCAAAGTGGAGGCAGCACAGCGTTCATGCCTGTCTCCATTCGCCCCCATTTCTCATGACCCTACCAGGAAACATCGCCACTGTGCTGCACGCAGAGGTCCAGAGTCCCCTTGATTTCTTGGCTGCAGTTGCTTCTCCAGACAGTTCCAGGGCCAGTTGGCAGCCTGACTGACAGGAGGAACTATCAGGAAAGACACTTTTCAAGAATGCTGCTGTTTTTACAGTTGCCCAAGATAATCAACATTGGGCAGGAAGTTGGACCAAGAAGAGAAATCACACGTTTTTTTTAAACTCAGAAAGGGCAAGTTGCCTTCTGTCACAGGGGGACAGACTACTGCCTGCAAGGCTCCTGGATCCCCCTGAAGGGAGAGGGACTGACTGAGGGAAAGGATGCCCAGCACATGTCCCTGGCTACGATGCTGTGAGGCTGTGAGCCTGGTCATGCCCACCTTATCTCGGAATCCTTGGGCCTGGCCTTAGAAAAGGCACTCCCTGCTAGCTGTATGAATGAGTGAGGGAGGGAGGGAGGGAGGGAGGGAGGGATGGATGGATGGATGGATGGATGGATGGATGGATGGATGGATGGATGGATGGATGCATGGATGGATGGATATTCCAATCAAGTAATTTAGGAAAAGCTGGTTACAAAAAATGCAACACTCTCAATGGCCCAGGAGACCTCTGAGAAGGGGCCCCCTTTATGCTCCGATGGGCATGAGAAGCAGGAGGTAGAAAATGACCCCCTGGACAGTGCAGTTAACCACCCAAGGTACCCCAGATATACTGGGGTGGGGGGCCCCGGGCTTTCCAATGCTACATGATCAAGGCTGGAGTTTTTTCACTGGGATGTCTAGGGAAGGGTGGTGGAGGAGTTGAGGACTCCCCAGTTGTACAGGGAAGGAAAGTGGAGCACAGAGTATTTCTGTAAGCTGCAGGTGACCACACTTCCCACTGGGCAGAAGAGGAATTTGAACCCAGATCTGATTTAAGCCAGCCCGTGCCCCTTTTGTTCACCAGGCTTCCCCTGACAGGGGCATAAATTCATCTCTTTTTTCAGACCAGATGAGGCCAAACAAGGAAGCAAGGGGGTGGCTGTATACAGTTAACCCCAATGAGCTCCTATATTCTCATCAAGAAGCTGAAGGCCTCACCCTTAGCAAAAGGGAGCCTCAGTAAGGGAGACAGGCAGCACCTCTGTGACATCCTCTTGATTCCTGTCTTCTCAAAGCCACACCTGGACCCAGATCAATAATCAAATCCATAGGCCAAAAGGGTTTACAAACTGTGGCCAGACTTTTTGAAGAAATGTGGAAGGTGGCAAATAAAGAGATTTAAAATCTCCACAGCTCTGCCGACCCCAGATGAGAGGGAGTGGGGCAGCTGAAACATAGCTCAGCAAGATAGGCAGGGGGGCAGTGGTCTTAGAAGATTTTCTTGGTGATTTATGACTGGGAGGGTATATGCACCAGAAGGAAGGAAATGCAGCATGTCACCTGGCCCCGGCCCGCCCCCGGGACTGCATCGGGGGCACCACCTTCAGGAGCTCCTCCATTGGAGGGAGACATGCTCCTTTCCAGACTGGCTCATCACAAGGTCCTCTGAGCGGAGTTCAAGAGCCCTGGACACCCCAGCACCGGGCAGAGGGAGGGCAGTTGTCAGACCTGGTGGCCAGGAGGATGGGCAGGAGGAGGGCTGACTTTGCCCGGCGAGGTCAGAGTCACATGTTCACAACAGAAGCTGTTGAGCAGCAGCTCCTGGGACTCACCCACTGTCACCCCCTACCCTTAGGGTCTTTCCCAGGAGGGGGCACAGTCCTGTGCGGAAATCCCGTGCAACACAATGGGGCCCTTTTCCGAACCCGGCAGCACACACTGCAGGATTGTTTGCAAGCGCAAAACATCTGGAAATCACCAGTGCTGAGGTCTTGAAATCAGCTGGCGTGCATCTTAACCTGAATTCTTCACTATTAAAAATTTATCTTAAGAAGCTCTCCCTAGCTTCTGATCTTAGTCTAAAATGGATAAATCCATTCCAATTTGGGGATGAGGGCTTTCTTTTACTTTTTACACAATGAACAGTATTTTTTTGAATTAAAAACATTTTTAATTGTGGTAAAATAAATATAACATATAATTTACATCTTAACCATTTTTAAGAGTACAAAGAGCATTAAGCATAGTCTCACTGCTGTGAAACAGAGCTCTAGAATGTTTCCATCTTGCAAAACTGAACTATAATCATTAAACAATACTTGCCACGTTCTTTTAGTTTTGAGCTTTAAAAATCTGAATTATAGACCATGGTATAGAGCAATTCAATTTCCAGTTCGAAAATTTCTGGAAACATTACTCATGAAGTCTTAAAAAAGAAACACCTTCCTCTGCCCCCATCTGAGAGTTCACAGGAAGATGGTTAAGGACAGAACAAAAAGGTAGAAGGAAAGCTAAATGAATTTTTCATAAACAAGAGTTCCAGGAAAAAGATTTTGTGCGGTTGCATTTAGACCACAAGGTCATGTTGGGTTTGAGTGGCTGAGCTGGTTGGTTCGCCTGTGCCTTTGGCCTCATCAACTTGCACAGAAGAACCGTACCAGCCACAGGGCAACGAGCAAAGGTCATCTATCCGCATGTGCTTGGGGGCCCCTGTGTCACCTTGGGCCCTTGGAGGTGACCAACAGGCCAGCATGCATGAAGGCCAGCTCCTCTCTGGGCTTACCACAAAGAAAATTCTAGAAGAAAAATGCCCCTAAATATCTGGGGTTATAAAACAGAACCAGTCCAAATTCAAACTTGCAATCTACCCAGGTTTCACACTGTAACTCTGTCTTTGTGTTCAAACTGCTCTAAGGACCTGTCTTCAAACACACATATACTCCGAGAAAAACTTCACAGGGAAATATTTATTTCATGAGACTCTCACAGACTGCCCTTTGCCCCTTACCTACAACAGATGAATTCCTGCCCACAGGAGAGACCATGACCCTGCACTTTAAAGCAAGCAGACCAAGGCTGTGTTGAGCGCGACCAGGGAGAGCAAGCCTCCTAGCCTGGCACAAAGGGGGCCTCACAGACACTGCCTACATCTGTGCGTACAGATGCGGAGGGCTCAGGAAAGCCCAGCAGGCCCTGGATGGCAGCCGGTGGGACCTGACTGCAATTCTAGGATGAATCAGCCACAAAAGGGAGCCCAGGTCCAAAAGCAGGCAGGCCCCCTACATTATCTCTAGATCAGCCTTGAAAAGGAACACCCCCTTTGCACCAGCAGTCCCCTCCTTACCATAATCTAATCCCATAACTGACACAATAATTGTGGACATGCACAATGACAGAGAAATAAGATTTTCACTGTGAGTTTCTTTATAGAATCAAAATATTGGAAACAAATGAACTTCTAACTCTAAGAGGCAACTTAAAAGCATGGGACTTGGTCTCTGGACCAGCATAAAGGCATCCACAAGACAGATGGTCTTTAATAGTTTAAATGACATGAAAAAAGTTGTGCAATTCAGTAATACAAACATGCAACAAAAATCTGTCTGGTGGAAGATGGGCAGGGCGGCAGGTAGGCCCATCTTTCTCACCAGTGCAGATAGAGTCTGTGCTCTAAAAATTCATACTTAGCAAAGCAAGATCACAGATATTATGAGGTTGAGAGAAAAGCAATAAATAACATTAAATATGCTTTGAAAATACAGTAAACATGCATTCATGGTGGGAGATGGGATGGGTAGAGAGGCACCCAAGAACCTCACAGCTGGTGGTGCCCTCCCCCAGGCTGGAGAGTCCCCACGGCACACCAGGTGAGAATGGGAACGCTGCACTGGAGGAGAGAGTGAAGCAGAGGCGACCCAAAGCTGCTGCCTGACTGTGGGTGCGCAGGAGGGTGGAAATTCTTACAGGTCCTAATGCAGGGCCTTAGGAATGTCCTGGAGGCCAGCTTCCTGGAGATGTCTGGTCGGGATGAAGGGGCTGCAACCTATAGGCTCCATATGGGTACAGACTCAGAAGTTATGAAACGCACCTTCAGACAGACCCAGCTATGAGCCAGACCAGATCAGCCTGACCAGAGCAGACCCAGAAAGGATCCAGGCAGCATGTGGGAATCCAAGCCCCCGAATTCCTGCCATCCTGAGGTCACATCAGGATACCATCACATAAAATTAGGGCAAGGAGAATACAGCCTAAAGGAGCAATCATTTGCCCAAAGTCACAGGCATCCAAGTGAAGTTACTTCAACAGATTTATGTGTGTGGTCAAGTTTAAATTTTTTTTTCTACCACTGCCTCTACCCAGTGTAGAGGGAGCTCTCAAGGACAATTAAATGTGCTACCAAAAAATTTTTACGCATTTTCTTTTTTTTTGCCCACTTCTGAGTGATAGTGTTGAGTGAATTTGCAAATCCCAGTGGGCAAAACCACAGTCGGCAGGTTACTTTGCTATCCAAAACATTCATGGTGTTTCTAAGTGGGATTATGGGAGATTTTCATTTTCTTTCTTACCTATGTTTTCTGAATATTCTGCCATAGATGTAACAACTTGTTTTTTTACATGAGAAAAAGATGGCTTGGTTTATTTTTCATTTGTCTCAGCTAGGCACCTGTTCCCCAAGAGCACCCCCACCCTGCAGGAAGTACAGAGGGTAAACGCACCTGGCAACGGGCAGCCAAGGACCTCCATCCTCATGCAGATGCTCCCGTTATCGAACCAAGACTGAGGGTTTATGCGAATATAGCGGGCGACCATGGGGACCGGCAGCTCCTTGAGAACAGGGATCTCCTTTTCACTGTTTCCTTCAAATATCTATTTATGCACAAGGAGGAAAAAGGAGAATCTTTTAGAGCTTGGTTGTCAAGGGGTAGAAGGGTCAGTAATTCTTTCATCCCACCAGATCACATTGGGGAACTCCTAATGTGTGCTGGGCATTAAGAGGAAAGAGAAATAAGTGAGTGTGGACCCTGCCCTCAGGAAGTGCTCGTCTAGCGGATGTGGGAGGCACAGGAGAGGCCCTGGAGATATCACAGGTAAGACCTGCTAGGGCCATGGCAAAGACAGTCGCAGAGCTGTGGGGTTTCAGAATAAGGAAAGGACCAGGCACAGCTTTGGGGACCAGATGCCAATTGAACTGGCCTGGAAAGAAAACTACTTAGATCTTCATGGGGGGTAGGGTTTCTAGAGGAAAGGAACAGTAATAGCTGGAGAAGCCCAGAGATGGGATTCAGAGGGAGAAGAGCAACTGGCTCACTTTTACAGGAACACAGGAGGAGTGGCCCCCAGGGAGGGGGATGGGACACTGGATGCCACCTTAAGAATGTTCACCTAAGAACCTGAGGAAGAGGGAGGCAGGATCATTACTGGCTAACCTGGAGCAGAAAGAGCAGGGTCATTAAAGGAAGTTTGGGAACTACTATAACTGAACCGCTGTGAGGGGCACCAGCATAGCCTATGTGCCATGCGCCTTCCAGGGCTGACCTGTGAATTTGGAAGGGACTTCATTTCAGCAGCTCAGACTTTTACACTGACCCTAAACATGGGCTCTTGGTACACAATTTCAGGGCCTGGAAGGGGTCATTACCCATCAGATTCTATGGCTGACTGACACAGAATCAGCCAATATTCAGGTACAGACTTCGGACACATGCTACCTCTCTCTGCAGAGCCCCACACAGCCTGACACCGAGGGCATGGTTAGAGGGAAGAAGACACTCACCATGTCTCCAGATCCATTCTTAACAGTGACCCATGTATGGCTGTCATTGCTCACCATGACCTTATAAGAGGTCACCCAGTCACTCCTAAGAGAAAATAAAACATCATTGGGACCACACACTTTAAAGTACCTCTTACATGTAGGGGTATAGCAATAATGAGAGTGGGTCCTAGAGCTGGACAGCACTGGTCCCACCCTGGTGCCACAATCCTCCCCTCTGTGGCCTCGGCCACACAACTGTCCCACCTATGCTACTGTTCATTCATCCACACAGTGAGAATACCAAAGTGCCAAGCTTAAAAGACTGATGTGAGCATTTAACGGTTTAACACCCTTTAACACTTAGGACAACGTCTGGCCCCAAGTAAGCATTAAGTGTTGGTCACACACATAAAGATATACAGATACTTGGGTCATTTGTTTACACTTCACATTATAGCACACACAGTATTAGCAAAAGTTGCACGTTGGTCTAGAAATTTCCTTTGGAAAACTGATTTGGGAACATGACAAATGAGATCCCATTAAGCACAAAAACAACAGCTTGAGCCTTTAGGAGATTTGGGTTCTCCGCGGCTGTCACAGCCAGGCAGACAGTCCCCCCCAGCCCCTCAGCAATAATCCAGTGACAGCCGGGCCCGAAGCCAGGCTCCCGTCATCACATCCTACTGCCCAAAATTACTGAAGCTAAAATGGCCATAATTTGGCTTCCCAGAGTTGAGGTCAATTTGATAGAATGGGCAAAAAAACAACCTTCATGCGGAAGACACATTTCCCCCTTCTGCCCCAGTTTTTTTGTGACATTAACTGTTAAGCAATACATAGAAGTCTTCCTGAGCATCACCCTTTTTAATTTTTAAAATACTGGAACTAAGCACCAATTTACCTATCTTTCAGAACATTCTGCCTGCTGAAGCATTTGGAATCCTTCTTCTACTGTGAAATCTCCTTGGACTCGGGATCCTGATAGAGCCCAGTAAGGTTTGAGTTTTTAGACTAAATCAATACAGCCTAGTAAAGTTTGTTTAGAAAGCAGCTGGTTGTATTCATTCAGGCTCATCTAACTGACTTCTTGGAAAAATTAGTCTTAGGTGCTTTTTTATACATGCTCGGAAACAAGCCCTCACCTCCAACCTTCTTTTCTCTCCTCTCTCCTCCCCACCGGCTTTGTGTGACTACCTGCTGGAAGCCAGAATCTATTGAACAACACATTCCTCCTTGGAGGGTTACGGGCTTGAGCCCATGTCTGCAGATTTAGAAGCATTAAACTTGCCTTTCGAAAGGCACCTCAGCAACAGCTCATGTCCTTTGCACTGGAAAATTACCCTCACCCAAAATAGCAACCTGTTTCCCACATTCAAATAATTTCCAAATGACTTGCAACTGCAATCCCTTTCACCGGCTGTGTTTCTGCTCATAACACCCCACAGAGACCCAGTAAGGCAGTATGCAGAGGTGGGGGGTGCGGCCTACAGACGCGGAGGGGATGGATTTAGGAAACCTCTCAGTCAAAAGCCACACACAATAAGAGAGGTGTATGAAGAAAAACCTAAGTAAGTTCTCCAAAGAAAAGGGGAGAGAGAGAAAAGGAAATGAAAGCCAAGCAACAATTTCTCAAACTTAGAAAAAACAAATGTGGACAAACCCACAACTCAGCCTGAAGGTATTAAACAGTTTATGTAGCTCAAATCTCTCTGCTGAACTGCAGACCTATGTCTCATCCTTCCACCTATTTGATGTCTCCACTTCATGTCTCAGCAACATCTCAAGTTTAACCCGCTCACAAACCAACCAATTTGTCTTCTGCTCTGCAGCCTCACCTGGGGTCTACCAGAGTCCCTGCTTTCAAAAAGACACTGCACCCCCCCAGGGGGACCACATCCCACCGTCATCTGTGGTAGCTCAC